CAATTAATGCGACTACAAGTTTCTCTAAGGACGGATTCTTGTCACTCTGTGTCCAGTAAACCAACATTTGGTACGTTTGTTCTGCGTTGCCTTCAGATTGATAATCACATCTCAAACTATCTAACTTGTTATGTTTAATATCAAGCATTCCCCCGATTTTTTGCCATTTCCAAGTTGCATTTTGTGCTACATAAAGGAGAAATCGTCTGTACTTTCCTATATTCTYTTTCCAGCTAAGGTTATCTTTCAGCTGGCCTGCAAATAATAGATGGAAAACCTTGTTTTATGGATAACTTCCGTACGTTGTGGATCCACGAGTTTTCAAAGGTTAGTAAAGAAAGAGCTAGAAGCCAGAAGAAAGCAGTCAAGAAAGACTCACAAAGAACAGCGAGGAAGCAAATGAGACGAGAGGAGCCGGGACGAGAAGCTAGAAATGAGTGAACAAAAAATGCAGAGAAACGATGTTGAAACTGAAAGAAAACTAGAAGATTTGATGGAGGGAATATGATGGGATGGAATGGAGTACAGACTGTAGAATACAAGGAATTTAAAAATCAAATTACGGAGAGATTATATTAAAACTAAAAATCTCAGTTTTAATGTTACTTTTCAGCTAAATTTCAGTTTGAGTGTTACTTGCCATCTTTGAGATCCTTTTTTATTTCTTCAAGATGACTGAAGATATGACCGTCATCAGAATCTACAATACATAAATGAATAAATAAAAAAAAAAATAGTTGCAATGAAAATCAGAAAACGTCAACAGGGCTGAAAAACGTATGCGCATGCGCCAAATCTCCTTTGTAAACCTTGCAAAATGCACAAATTTTACGTAAATTGGTCGAGGTTTTCAGAGAAAAGCGTTTTAGTACAAGCACTAGAAAAGTTCTACATACCACTAAAACAAACCTTAGGCATTAGTTAATAGATTAAAATGCAAATTTTTCTTAACTTTCCAGAAATGAGCTTAACTTTTGGACTTTTGTAGCTAACTTTGAGATTTTTCCGAAACCATAGGCATTTTTTATAGGAAGCAGGTGAGCCCGCGATTTTTCCCAATACCGCTGGCTCGTTTTTCAGCCCTGTTGAAAACGTCAAGATTTTAAGAGCATAGAGTTCCCACTTTAACACAGCTGTTTTCGTATGAGAGGGACTAAAAAATACGGTATATTGACTTACAGCACATAGTTACAAGGTACGACATGCCAAAACATTGAAATGGCTTCCGATAAGAATGATTATCGTATGAGTGGGAAACACACGGTACTGACTTACAGGACGTACACGGTACGACATGCCGTAACATTGAAATGGCTTCCCATAAGAATGGTTATCGTATGAGTGGGAAACACACGGTACTGACTTACAGCACGTACATGGTACGACATCCCATAAGAATGGTTATCGTATGAGTTGGAAACATACGGTACTGACTTACAGCATGTACAAGGTACGACATGCCGTAACATTAAAATGGCCTTCCATTAGAATGGTTATCGTATGAGTGGGAAACACACGGTACTGACTTACAGCACGTACACGGTACGACATGCCGTAACATTGAAATGGCTTCCGATAAGAATGGTTATCGTGTGAGTGGGAAACACACGGTACTGACTTACAGCACGTACACGGTACGACATGCCAAAACATTGAAATGGCTTCCGATAAGAATGGTTATCGTATGAGTGGGAAACACACGGTACTGACTTACATTACGTACATGGTACGACATGCCGTAACACTGAAATGACTTATTTAATAATTATAGTTAGAATTAGGTTGCAAAAACCCTTCCTTTAAAAATCCTGTATTC